GAAACTATTTCAACTTGGCAATACTCATAGAGTCATCATCGTTAGCCACAATATCATCAACATAAACAACAAGAAAGATATTACCGACATTAGTGCATAGATAAAATACCGAGTAATCTGTCAGACATCTATGAAGGCCAAAATCCATTACTGCATCTGAAAACTTCACTAACCATGCTCGTAAAGATTGTTTCAACCCATGCAATAGTTTCTTTAATTTGCACACTTTTCCTTAATACTCCCCCTGAGTAACAAACAGAAGCCGTTGCTCCATATAAACTTCTTTTGCTAAGTCATTATGTAAGAAATCATTTTTTACATTTAATTGAAATAATGGCCAAGAGAGATTAGCATCCAAAGAAATCAAAATTTGAACATAAGAAATCTTGGGGCTTGTTTAGTTTGCGTTTCAAAAAATAGTATCCGAAAATAGTTTTTGAGAAAAATTTTAAGAAAGTGGTTTTGATATTTTTTGAGATAAAAAACTTGTTTGGTTAGATAATTTCAAAAATAATTTTACAATACAGAAAATAGTAAAACCTGTTTGGACAACCTAAATACATATTTGAACAGTAATTCAAACATTAATAAAAAAATAATAAAAAATTATTTTTAGATTGACCAATTCATAAAAAAAAAATTCAATAAACCAAACTTTCAACTATATATATAATAAAACATGAATGTGTTTGAATTTTATCCCACTTATATTTTTCCTCTCAAAACTATCACCAATCACTTACCTCATCCATCATCCCTTTGTCAGACTCAAACGTCAAATCACATCACTCATTTTTATCACATATTTAATCATTTATATATTTTCTCTATAAAAATATCACACAACTCATTTTTATCATATATTTAATCATTTAATATTTAATTAATTTGTAGTTAATATATTTTAAAAAAATTTAATATAGTAGGATCAATTTTTTGGACGCTCGAATTTTATATTTTATTGTACCTTCAGGCACGGGTTATAACTAGTATATATATATATATTTTATATATATAAATGTATACACACACACACACACACACACACACACACACATATATATATATATATATATATTGTTCTCCTTGTTTTCAAAATTTTCAAAGAAAACTCTGAAAACAAGTTATACTTGTTTTATGTTTCTTTGACTCAAATCTCCTTTTTTCCCAAAATTTAGAGAACAAAAATGCTAAACAAACATGTTTTGGGTGTTTTTAAAATTTTGAGAACAAAAAACTATTTCCGAGATGATAACCAAACATGGCCTTGGCCACTGGAGAAAAAGTCTCAGCATAGTCAACACTATATATTTGAGTATATCCCTTAGAAACTATATGAGCTTTGAAACGCTCCACAAAGCCATCCGAATGAAATTTAGTTTTGTAAATCCAGTGACACCCAACAGTCTACTTGTCGGGAGGTAATGAAACAAGATTCAAAGCGTGGTTGTCATGGAGTGCACGCATCTCCTCTTCCATAGCTTGCCTCCAATGTGGAGTAGATAGGGCAGCTGAGACAGTCTTAGGAATAGATATAGTAGATAATTGAAAGATAAAACAAGAAAATGCTAGAGATAGCGAATGAGAAGAAACAATAGTACCAATATGATGGTTAGTAACATAGGAGCTAACACCCTTACGAAAAGCAATCGGTAGAGAGTCTGATGGTGCTGAAATGGCAGGATCTGAAGACGATGATGAAGCTGGTGGTGGAACTGGAGCAGGTGCAGGTGGCCTCAACCGACGAGAATAAACACGTACGGGTGTGGTAAGAGGTATATGAGGAGACATTGACCCAAGAGGTAACTAAAGAGAGGGAAGAGGACCTTGAGTGGGTAGAGGAAATGAAATAGGCAAGGGAGATGACTCAGAGAAACAATCAAAAGGGATGGGTGATGTAGAGAAATAGGGTGTAAACTCCCAGAAGGTGACATCAACACTGGTAAAGTATTGCTTAAAAATAGGACTGTAATAACAGTAACTCTTTCAAGTGTGAGAGTAATCAAGGAATATACACTTAGTAGTTCGTGGATCTAGTTTACCAAAATCAGGACTAATATTATGAACAAAATAAATACAGCCAAACACGTTGGGAGGAATTGAGAACAAAGGAGACTGAGGAAACAAGACAGAATGAGGAGAGACACTGCTTAAGATTGTAGAATTCAAACGATTAATAAGATAACAAGCAGTCAAAACAGCATCACCCCAAAATTCGGGATGAACATGCATATGAATTAGGAGCCCGAGTGACATCCAATAAATGATGATTCTTGTGCTCTGACACACCATTTTGTTGAGGCGTATGAACCATGGATCGAAATTTTGTTTCGGCGTTATTGTTTCGGTCACCTAGAAAATAGAAATATTTTGATGTGTTTTGGAAACGTTTTGACCCATTTTAGAAACATGATGAAAAAAATAAAAAATTTAAGAGTTATTTTTTCAAAACATTGATCAAAATATATCAAAGTAACTTGAATACTTTAAAACATTTCAAAACAATTGTGCAAATGCATTGAAATATTTCAAAACATCTTGAAACATTATGGAATACCTCGAAATATTAGAATTTTGATTTTATCAGTGATTTAGATTACATATATATTCTTTAGCATTGTCAGATCGTAGAACTCGAATACGATAGTTAAATTCTGTCTTAATTTTCTTACAGAACAATCGAAAGATAGAAAATAATTCTGGGTGAGATTTTATTAAAAATAACTAGGTCATATGAGAATGATCATCGACAAATGTAACAAAATAATGAAATCCATTAATTGAAGAAGTTCCAAGAGGACCCCATACATCAAAATGAACTATTTTTTTTTTTTTGGGTGTATAATGAACTAATTCAAAAGAACTAGAAACACGATTATCAATCCTAGATTTAAAAGGCACACGATGGTGCTTACTGGGAAGGTTGGTTTGGTAAGTTTTTAAATACTTTTAGGTCAAAATAATAATACTATTGAATCCGAAAGGTTGAAAAAATCTTAGATATATGATATGGGGTGTAGTAAAAGTTTGGAGGTGCTCCAAAGTTAAAATGCATTTTAAAGAGAATTTAGGTAGGAAAGAATTTGACACTATCTCAGTATTATAGTCATAATTTTTTATCTTAATGTCTGATTGATTTAATTGTTATGGCATTAGAAAGTAGAATAAAAAATTTTCATAGAAATTTTGTGAATCGACCTCTAACTAGGTGAAATATGGGAAAGAAAGTCATTGGCGTCTGGATGCCCCCAGAACCTTCTCAACGCTTGTCTAAAAAATAAATTATGCATCTGATCAAAGAAAAGGAGAAACAGTAAATAAGAACTGTTTGGATGCCTCACAACCCCTATCAATTATTAGAGTTTCCTTCGTTTTTGACACTATAAATATCTAGGGCTGCGTTTTGGGGTTTCTATACATGGTTTTTCAACCCTAGAAACCTAGAAGAGTTTGGAGAGAAGGAAAATAGGATAAACGGGCTATATCTTGAAAGATTAACATGGTAATCGCACCAAAATGCGTTAGGATCTACTATTCGTGGATTAAGGTCGGGTTTCTTTGTCAAACTATTTATTGAGGATTAGGGCCATGTATATATATCTTTTAGATTCCTATTCCAATATATATGATAAATATATAATGATTTTACATTCTTTTGATTAAATGATTCGCTTCTTGCAAAAATTACATGATTTATATCTAAAAATACATGTTTTTGATAAAAAACCCTAGATCTAATTTACGGTGGGGCCAATGATCAAAATTTCGTTTTTGTGCATTATTTCAGTCACTTATGAAACTGAAACGTTTCGACCAGTTTCGAAAATAGAATGAAAAAAAATAAAAAATTTAAAAATTATTTTTTCAAAACATTAGTCAAAATATACCAATATATCTTGACATACCTTGAAACATTCTAAAATAATTGTGCAAATGTATTGAAATATAACAAAACATTTCGAAACATTATGTAACACCTCAAAACATTAGAATTTCGATTATATCACTGATTTGTTTCAATCTCCTTAGAAACGAAAACGTTTCGGATGTTTCAAACTATTTTGAAATGATATTTTGATCCTCATTCGGGGCTTAAAATTCTACTTCTCTAATTTACTTCATTTGATTTATGACAAAATTGAATGGTTTTAACTTGACACTAATTGGATGGGAGATTTGGTTTTTTTAAAAAGTTTTGGGGTTAACGTTGATGACTAAATTATGTTTCTTGGGATTTGTTTACTTAGATATTGAATGATGGATGGCTTAATTCATGCAATGGTTTATTTTAGCTATGCTCTCATGGTTGTTGTTTATAGTTTAGTTCATGCCTATTTGTGGAAATTGGGCCGTGACACAATTTATTTGGGTACTTAGGTTTGGTAGTTCATTTTGGGATGAAACCTCATTATTCCTTTGCGTTCTTTGATCCTTATTATTTTCCCAAAAACAAAATCATAGTTTGATGAGAACCACATAACGACTTCTAAATGTAACAAGTGGAGGAGATGGTCCCAACTAGTATGTCACATATGAATAAATGCCCAATATTGAAATAAGATTAAAAAGTACAAAATTCAGGAGTGATAAGGATGGAATTTCCTATTATAAGGGAGCTTTGTACGTACATATCAGGTGCAGTGCTTCTTTTTTCTTTCCTTTTTTCTGTTCCTTTATTCTAAATCCGCTGCAGTGTTTCAGTTTTGTATAAGGACTTCAAATATGAATCAATCCCCATTTCTTGGGTCCAGTTGCTTGTGTCACGCTGTGCGCCTACCCAGATGTCCATATTATTGCTATACATGAGAAATAACTTGATGTGATAATTACTCTGTTTCATGCGGATTCTCAAAAGAAATCTGAAATAGATTATTTGATTACTTAAGCATTTGGCATCAAGTTGCATTTTATTATTTTGAATGCAGCCCTTTATTTGAAATGCCAATAAATTGTGTTCACAGCTTTTTTTCTACAAGCCCAATTTATGGTGGCCAAATGGCATGGGAAAGCAATCCTTGTACAATGTTGAAATGACTGTTGATGAGAAGAGCTATGGGGAGTCTGATTTGTGGAACCATCCTTTTGGATTTCGCAAAATTGAAAGTCACATCGATAGTGCTACTGGTGGAAGGTATAATCTATGTTTAAGTTTACTGTTTGAATGGTATGCCTTGTGATTAGTTTTTATGTATTATTTTGTAAATTATATCTTCATACTTTACAGGCTGTTTAAGGTCAATGGGCAGCCAATATTTATCCGTGGAGGTAATTGGATATTGTCAGATGGATTACTACGACTTTCAAGGAAACGTTACAAAACAGACATCAAGTTTCATGCGGACATGAACTTCAACATGATGCGCTGTTGGGGTGGTGGACTGGCTGAGAGACCTGAGTTTTACCATTACTGTGATATTTATGGTCTGCTAGTAAGCTCTCTCTATCTCTCTCTCTCATGTAAAGTGGGGTCAATTGGGGAAGGCTAAGTAGACTTGACTGACTTGTGACATCAACGTTCAAGAATGAATGATGCACAGGTTTAGAAGGGCTGTTAGAGACAAGATTGTTTTAGAAAGGTTTTTTGGGAAAGCTTATGACCTCGTGATGGACTTTCAGTATGTCGTATTGTGCAAAAGAGGATTGGTGTTGGTTAATTAGGTTACCTCCAAAGGTGGTATGATATAACCTATAGTGGATAGAATATCCGAAGGAGAGCCAGCCCATCACCATCTGTAAACCTTCCCCTATAAGATACCCATTTGACTTACGTAAATACCTAAATCCAGCATCTGTCTCAAGGTATTGGATAACATGTATAACAATATATGAATGTGGTACTCAAGGAGCACTCATCACCTGACTTACCACTCTAATTGCATATGAGATACCAAGTAATAGTAAGGTAATTCAGATTTCCAACTAAGTGACGATATCTGCCTGGATCTCCAAATGGCTCCCCTTTATCAACTATAATCTTTTGAATAGGATCCACAAGGGTCTCAACAGGGCCGATCAATAGGCCCATATATTCTTACATATCAAGAGCATATTTTATCTGTGATAAACTAAAACCCGTCTTAGATCTAGCAACTTCAATATGAAAGAAGTGTATAAGCTTTCCCAAATCTTTGGTATAAAACCAATTCTGCAAGAATTGTTTCAAATTGGCAATGCTCCTAGAGTCAATCTCGATAATAACAATATCATCCACATATACCATAAGAATAATGTAACCTGAATCCATGCAACAATGGAACACAAAATGATCTGAGTGGCACTTTTGAAGAGTCCAACTTCTAGTATTGCCTTTGAAAACTTTTCAAACCATACTCTTGGTAATTGTTTCAAACCATCAAAGGCCTTCTTTAACCTGCAGACACTATCACGATACTCCCAATAAGTAACAAACCTTGGTAGTTGCTTTATGTGAACTTCTTCAACTAAGTCACCTTGTAAAATAAAATTTTGCATCCAATGAGTACAAGGGCCAATCAAGCTTAGCCAACGGAATTAAAATAGTAGTCACTAGGCAAGCTTTCAAATACTTCCACAAAACCATGAGGGATTAAATTTTACTATATACACCCTGCAACATCCAATATTCTTTTTGTTCGGAAATGGAACAAAATCCCAAGTACCTTACGATGCAACGCTCCCATATCTGCTTTCCTCTATCTTGGATCTAGGAAAACATCTTGAACATCCTTGGGAATAAAATAGCATACAATTGTAAAGTAAAACAAGAAAATGAAGGCAATAAGGAATCATAGGAAACAAAATGAATAGTAGGATGGTTAGTTGCACACGAGCGAATGCCTTTATGAAATGCAATAGGTAAAGACTCGACGGCCTCTACGAGGGAACTTGGATCTACAGATGGCAAGGAAGATGTTGGAGACACTGGTGGGTGCAAGCGACGACTATAAACTCGTAATAGAGAAGCCTGTTGCATTGGTGTAGAGTTTGAGATGAAGAATGAACCGACTTTGAAGAAGAGAGAATAGTATCAGATGATACAGAAGACTTTGGGAGTGAGAGTGGAATGGAGACTGGAAAAGACTCAAATTTAAAGTCAAGATGAGAATGTGCAATAGAGAAGTATTGAAGAGGCTCATAAAATATAACATTGATACTTGTGAAAATAAAATACCTTCAAAGAATCGGGTTGTAACACTGATTTCCTTTTGGAGTTTGAGAATACCACAAGTATACAAAATTTGTCGCATGAGGATCAAGCTTATCAAAACCTAGACCAAGATAATGAGCAAATATACACATCCAAAAACACGAGAAGACATATGGATCAAATCAAAATTAGGAAACAAAATAGATTGGGGAAATTTCCCATGTAAGATAGAAGAATGAAATAGATTCTCATTAAAAATTATTTGTGTACAGACATATGGAATAAAATAGCAAGTTACTTCAATAGATGACTATTCTTACATTTAACAACATTTTTGTCGTGGTGTCTGAACACAAGATAATGCCTTTGAGGCAACAATAGGAATTAAAAGGATCCGAAATATGCTCTTTCACATTAACAGAACACAAAATATGAATGTGAGAATCAAATTGAGTTTTAATCACTATGTTAAATAGTTGAAATATAGCAAATAACTCAAAGCGGGCTCTCATTAAGAACAACAGTCATACGAGAGTGATCATCCACAAATGTCACAAAATAAAGATATTTATCTATACTTTTGATTTCCTCTTTATTTACTGTTTCCCGTAATTGTCTTGGTGCCGATATTTTTGCCTATTCACCTATTTAATTATTAATTGTGTTGATGATTCAAACGCTTCTTTGTTTTCTATTCATATTTGTTACTGGTTCAATAATTAATGATATTGATGACTAAACCTTTTATTTCTTCTCTCTCCATATTAAAGTCTTATATTCTATTAGTCATGATTATCAATTTATAATGAATTTATATTCATTTTGCATTTTATGCGTGTTTGAGATTTTTAAAGTCTTGCAATTTAAGGTTTTTTTTTGTTGGGTATCTTACGAGTAAAATATTCCCATTTCTCAAAAAGGCAGAAGAGAGAATATAATAATGAATTTTCTTAGTCTTGATATTAGTTAAGGATGATAAACAAAAGATAATGACCATTATCCGTCGACTTCACCATTGGTATTTCCTAATTTTAACAGAGGTCCTTGTAAAGATTTGGATTAGTAATTTCACTAATGTGTGGTCTTCACAATCTCAAAATAGTGTTTTTGTGCAACAGACGTATGCAACAACTAATTAGTAGAAATATATGTTATTGGACCCTAGTTTGAGGTCACGATATAACCCATTGATTTAGAGGGCACTAATACACAATGGTCATGACGTTGGTGCTATGTCAGTCGATACACACAAAATGCTAGATAAAATGCCCAAAAAGTTCTTATAAAATCATGAATATTTCCAAATAATGTAAATAAAAACATCTATGCATCATATGTCCAATGTCTGACAAATTAAACAGAGTGAACATGAAACATACACGTGTTGCAAAAATATTTATCATCATCAAGGTTCAAAGTAAGAATTTAAGACCATAATGAGCCATAATCGTTGCCATGTTGAATGACAAGGAGGCTCAAAATCATTAATGTTGTCTCCAGGATAACTATACAAATCGAGTAAAAAATTTCCCTAGGTAGTTCACATTGTTATTCGCCCATATCTCCTATGTAGTTCACATTGTTAGTCAGTATGTTACCTTACCTACCCCTATTTAGTGGGATATTGTTCTCCATATGTTTCACTATCTTTAGGGTACAGTGCATCAAAGTCTATTATTTTCTTCTTTTTCTTCATTGGACTTCAGGTCTTACTCTGATGCTGATTGGGCTTGCGACTCTGCAAATCATAAGTCCACTACTAACTTCTGTCACTTTTTCGGTGACTCCCCTATTTCTTAGAAAAATAAACTGTAGTTGTTTGTTCTTCTATTGAAACTGAAGATCGTGCTATGGCTTCCACCATAGCTTTGATAGTCTGGTTGCTATGGTTATTTACTGATCATGGCATCCCTTTGTGAGCTCCTACTCCTATTTATTGTGATAACACAAATGCAATTCAGAGTGTCCACAATTTAATGTTTCATAAGCATACAAAATATATTAGGATTGATTGTCATTTTGTGCGCCATCATCTTCCGCTGACACTATTTCTCTTCCTCTCCTTCCTTCTACTATACGGTTAGCAGACTTTTTAACAAAGTCTCACAATATTATGCACTTCCGTTTTCTTCTAGGCAAACTCCTAATATTTTCTGATACCACATCATGAGTTTGAGGGGAAGTGTTAAGAGAATTTTACTATTCGTTAGTCTTTTTTCAATATTGTTTTGCCCTATTATAAAAGGGTTTCTAGTTGTATCTTTTATTATTATATATGTTGTAAGCAAACTATTAGCTGTAATAGTATTCTCTTTATCTTTCTTCACTTTTATCTCTTCTTCAATTATGACATGCCACTCGTTCATTGGGTGTCAGCACCACTCCTGTAGTCCCTTTACCATCCTTTTTACTGCCCCAGTCATTGTCACTATTGTCACCATAACTGCCAGCACCGGCATCATTGCGACCACTACCACCATCATTTAGAATTGATAAAAGTGCTCATAGGCCCTTTAGCCTTATCACTAGGCCTAGTATCCTTTCCATGTTTTTTAACGGCAGTATAATTACTAGATGTAGGAGCTATGTTAGTTCTATATTCATCATCTGCACCTCCTCCACCTCAACTATTTCAAAGCAGCAAATACCTTTCATCCAAATAACCTAAGTTATCAAGTGGTAAAATAGGTTACTCCCTCTTCCCATTTTCACTTATTTAACATATCATCATCATTAAAAATATAGTTTAGATCCATTGAATTACAAAAACCCTCATTATCATAGTGATATGCCAAATTTCTGACTTGCAGCTGCATGTTGTAGTGCACAAAGACCAGCTTTTGCTACTTCCATTGCCAAGCGGTTGCAAAGTTGTGTGAATCAGTAAAACTTTAATTGTGTTTTTCTGTGGATGAGGAGCCTCTTCACCATAGTTGGCCTCCATTCCAGCCACAATGAAAAATGTATGGATTTAGTAAAAATAAGATATTTAATGAAAAATGAGTTAGAACTTATACTTTTTACAAACATACAAAGTTGAATTATTAAACCTGGAAGAGAGAGTGAATCAATAACCATGTACTCCAGTTTCTTTCACACCCTAATGATGAGCATGCTTAGTTAAAACTTTGATTGCGATTTTCTGAGGAGGAGGGGCCTCTTCACAATAGTTGACCCACATTCCAGCCACAATGAAAAATGTATTGATTTTGTAAAAATATGTTATTTAATGAAAAATGAGGTAGAACTTACACTTTTGTAAACATACAAAGTTGAACTATTAAACTTGTACTCCATTCTTAGTAGTGCATTTTCAAAATCTCCATACCTATGGATATATGATTTGATCTGCAAGATGTCTGTGTATCACATTTTAATAACTAATATATATGTATATGCCATATAATAAATTCTCAAACATTGTCAGACCTCATTCATAGCCCTGGCTTGTTTACTCAAATTCCAATCTCTTAATGACCTCCTTCAGATGAAATCTCACCTCTAGATGGCTGGAAAATAGGTTTGAATGTTGGATTAAGGTGTTTAAGAAATATGTTGCAAAAGTTTTAACATTTTATAGTTATGAGTTCAATGGTTACAATTCATTTAATAAAGATTGAAAAAATAATTTTCTGAAGACATTGCCTGCAGTGTGCAAGTGTCTATGCAGCTAAGTCTCCCTCTCATCGTAGGTCAATCGCATCTAATACTTTCTCCTTTGTGGCCGAATGTATTGCCCGTTTAACTCCAGACATAAGCCGTAGACAATTTAGAAAGTAGGCTTCATGTCTTCATTGACTATCTTCAGACCCTAATGACAGGCTCCATGATGAATTGGGGTGACATTGCCTTTTTCCCAAAATCAAATCTGAGACCTTATCTCACACTCTTCTTCTCTGCTGGACTTCTTATGCATTATCACTGGTACTTTACTTTGGCCTCTTTGATGCAGTAGATTATCTTTGCTTAATAAAACAAATAATAGTTTGCACACATTGTTGAATTGATTTTTGTAGGTTTGGCAAGAGTTTTGGATAACTGGAGACTGTGACGGGCGAGGTGTGCCAGTTTCAAATCCAGATGGTCCCCTGGACCATGACCTTTTCTTGTTTTGTGCAAGAGACACGATCAAGCTTCTGAGAAATCATCCCAGTCTTGCTCTGTGGGTGGGGGGAAATGAACAAGTTCCACCAGATGATATCAACACAGCTTTGAAAAATGATCTGAAACTTCATCCATATTTTGATAATTTCAATGAATTTGGCAAGTTAAGCGAAGAAATTTCAAAAGTATTGAAGGATCCTAGTCAGTATCTTGATGGTACACGTATGTATATCCAAGGATCTATGTGGGATGGCTTTGCAAATGGGAAGGGGGATTTTACTGACGGGCCTTATGAAATTCAGAACCCCGAAGATTTTTTTAAGGATGACTATTACCTTTATGGATTCAATCCTGAGGTTGGTTCTGTGGGAATGCCTGTGGCCGCTACAATCAGAGCAACAATGCCTCCAGAGGGATGGCAGATTCCTTTGTTTAAAAAGTTACCTGATGGCTATGTAGAGGAAGTCCCAAATCCCATATGGGAATACCATAAATACATTCCTTACTCGAAACCAAGCAAAGTTCATGATCAGATTTTACAGTATGGGATTCCGAAGGATCTTGATGATTTTTGTCTGAAGGTAAACTCTGTTAATATTTTATGCTTCTATGCTCCTATGATGTTTCTGGTGCTAAATTGTTTGGAATAACTATCTCAGGCACAACTAGTTAACTATATTCAATACAGAGCTCTGTTAGAGGGTTGGACTTCCCAAATGTGGAGCAAATACACTGGTGTTCTGATTTGGAAAACCCAAAATCCTTGGACAGGTCTTAGAGGCCAATTTTATGATCATCTCCATGACCAAACAGCGGGGTTCTATGGCTGTCGCTCTGCCGCGGAACCAATTCATGTCCAGCTGAATCTGGCAACATATTTTGTAGAGGTGAAACTAAATATTTTGGCAATATCTACAGATGAGTTTGGACTTGCATGTTATTTTGGCAATAAACCTTTTCTGATGTCAGTTTTTTTCTTCATACCACTTTGAGTCTAGAAATGTATTAACCTGCAGTACAGACAACCCCACATATGATTTGGACACCTGCAAAATCTGCTTTATTTGATTATTTTTGTCTTCAACCCTATGGTAGTTCAAAAAAATTTTTTATTCTAAGTTAAGTCAAATAGTTATCTGATATCCTAGGAAACACGAATATGGACACGGGTGTCGTATCCGATACGATACGGATACGGGGATATGACAAAATTCCAAAATATAGGATACGGGTACGGCGAGGATACTGCTAATTAAAATGATATAATATATTTTTATATATATAATAACATTAATAATAAAAGTGAATAATTAATTAATATTTTATAATTGAACAAATGAGCTAATATTAAATTTGATTAAGGGGTTAATATGTTATGGATAGTAGGCTAAACCAAATTGGGTAGTGGTGACAACTAATAAGGTATGATTATAATTTAACATAAAATACAAGAAGTCCAATAGTTATTTGTATATTTTTTGATCAACTAGGGCAAAAAAAAAGAAGAAAAGAAAATAATAGGGGCTGAAAAGTAAATTAAGGCAAGCCCTTGCTGGAAAAAAAAAAAAAACACAGCTTTATTGCTTTTCAGCAAGTCGGCTAAGCCGTTGGAAGATAGAAATCGCAGAGAGCTCAAACAAGAGAGAGAGTGGTCAAAGAGAGATTTGAAAATGAAGACGATATACCTTCTCGAAGAGGAGGAGATTTGTGGCTGTGGCTGATTAGGTACATCATCTTCCCCCCCTCCCCTTTTTTTTTTTTCTGGTTTCAAATCTATGGTTGTGGTCGTATCCCTCAGTATCACCCCCGTATCCAAGTCGTATCCGTCCATAACAAATACTTCTTCACTATTTATGACACTTGTGGAAGTATCGGACATGTGTCCGACACCACCACATCGAGTATCCGTGCTTCCTAGTTGATATTCTACGGAAAATTTTAGGCTTGTGCCTCTTCCAATTTGTTCGAAATTCCAGTGAAAATTTTAGTTTTTTTCCCTGTAATATGTAGGTAGTTAACACTACATCAGAGGAGCTGTCCTATGTGGCTATAGAAGCCTCGGTGTGGGATCTGGAGGGAGCATGTCCATACTACAAAGTTTCTGAGGAGCTCACTGTGCTGCCAAAACAAACCGTACCTATTTTTGAGATGAAGTACCCAAAGTCTAAAAATCCAAAGCCCGTCTACTTTCTTCTTCTCAAGCTCTACCATGTATTGGATTACGGCATAATATCTAGGAACTTTTACTGGTTGCATCTGTCTGGTGGTGATTACAAGCTGTTGGAACCATACAGGAACAAGAAAATACCTCTGAAGATAACTTCTCAAGCCTTTATAGGAGGGTCCACCTATGAAATCCGAATGCATGTCCAGAATAGATCAGAGAAACCAGACTCTACAAGTCTCCTGGACACGAATAATTTCATTAAAAAAAAGGGCAATGGTGATTCTGATATGGCTTCAGTAGAACTTGTCCATAGTGGGACTCAGAAAAAACAGGAATTTGGTCTATTTAAGAGGATTTACAGGCAATTTTCAAAGGAAGGCAATGGTCTGAGGGCTACGGAAATTAATGGAGCTGAGCCTGGAGTTGCTTTCTTTCTTCAATTCTCTGTTCATGCTTTGAAAAAGGATCTAAAGGAAGGGGAAGACACGAGAATTCTTCCTGTTCATTACTCTGACAACTACTTATCTCTTGCACCGGGTGAGGAAATGGCCATAACCATCTCTTTTGAAGTCCCGCTGGATGTCACCCCACGAGTAACGCTTCATGGTTGGAATTACCATGGTGGGCATACTGTCTACTGACCTGGGCTAATGTACTTCATTTTTCATGTTTGCAATGCTGTGGAAATTCTCTTGGTAATACTGGAAATCTGGAGGCATTACAAATGCACAGCTGAGAGATTGTCAACCCTATTACACCCCTTTCCAAACAAAAATGGTTATGCTTGTTGGAGACCATATTATGTGTGTTAAGCCTTCTTTATCCCAATTGTAGGTACCATGCACTGGTGTCTATACGAGTGTGGCTACTTGGTATTTGGAACTTATATTTCTTAATTCCACTTTCCTAACGCAATGCAGCATTTTGCTTCTCTGGGTCCTAGATTTTTGTTTTCAATCTTTAGCATCTTATAAATCATAGTCCATCACTGACCCATGTGGTTTAGTAGTACTTTGAGCCCTTCCCAAATAACAGGTTGGGGTTCAACCCTGACCACTGTTGATTGAAGTTTTTAAACCTCTTCCCGGGAAAAAGGTCACAGCCCAAATAAAGGTAGAGAAAAAGACAGTGAGTAGAAGTACATCCATTGCTTTGTTCTATTGTTTGGCAGATTTCAGCATGCGCCAAAGGGGAGATAACAAGCTTACTGAATGAGTCGGAACAGGCTAAACCAACAGCACCATTTAAGCCCTTGGTGCACCCTTGTGTGGCTCGCATCACCTTGGGGCTCAACAATGAAGCCTCTTCTAGTATATCGAGTTTTCCAGGATTTTGATGCATGCGTATTTGGAGGGTGATCAGAGAGCTCATGACCTGATTTATGCGCAAGTCAGACTACTAAAACAGCAACAACGAGGTTAGTATCACAGAAAAGAATCACAAAATCTCCAGTCTCATCAGATGTATGTACGAGAAGAAACAGCCCATTTCGAGGGCACTATAAAATTACATAAAAGAGAAGAGGAAACATAACCAAGTTTGAGCCCCATCTCAAGGCTGTGATTTTGCACCTTCAGTGTCTTTGTCAGGTATTCAACAACCTCATCTCCGGCGGGGCAGAGCAGAAATTTATGTGAGGGGTGGGCACTTCAACTATAAATTTTATTTTTCCCTTCAATTGACTAAAGTAAATAATACATAGCAACTTTTTTAAATCATATTTGATACTAAAAAAATTCATTAAACTAAAAACCGACCAAAAGGCAATACAAATGAAATGTAAAAACAAAAGAATAAGAAAAAAAAATTTCTAATTACACCCCTTTACAAAAAACTTGAGACTAGTATATCCATTTACAATCAATCCCAATGAGTTTAACATTCCAATTGGCAAATTAACAAGCGTAAAACTCAGTGTTTTAATTGCTTATGGTCAAAATCAGAATTTCAGAAAAAAAAAAAAAAAACTAGATATTTTCCCAAAAACAAAAACACATACGTGTAATACTTCAAGTCTACAAACTTGTTGATCCGAAATCTATGTTTGTGCAATATATGGAAAAGGTCGTAGGCACAAATTGGAGGCTCCGACACGTATCGACTTGTTTTTCTCCTTATCTTTATTTTCTTTGTATCAATGTTTCCTTCGTTTGTTTGGTGAGCTAAGACATGTATGTAAAGGTTAATGTTACGGTACTGTCAAGGTGCTGTGCCAAAAATTGATATATATCATTGATTTTGATTTGAATGATTTTGCAAATATTGATTGAAATAATGATAAAGACAATAAAAAAATTACACGTAATGTGTTTTTATCAGATAAAAAGTATGTGTGGTACTGAAAAGTGAAATTTTGATACCACAATCGAACGCCTATGTAAATAACACGAATAAAATCAAAGGGATTTTTGTGGAACAAGTGGCAGTTGGGTTGTGGATGAGCCATATATATAAGTAAGTGAAAATTAGCGTCGAGTCCTCTTCAATAGACTTATAATTTTTTTGATCAAAAAATATACTTATAATGACTTGAGTCTATCAATGAAACTTATTTGGTGATAAGTTCATTTTTTGTCTTACTAATAAGTACTTAACACTATTATTTTTTAAATCCCAAAAATATTTTTTCTTGAAAGAAGGTTAAATTAATTTCTTATCTTGGAAATTGTTATCTCTTAATACAATGTCAATTAAAATATATCAATAAAATCTCTATTATAAATTTAAAATTCAAATTCAAAGCACTCTCTCTCTCTCACACAAATATTCATTCACAAAAAGAAATCACAATTCTTACAAGAATAAACCTCAAATGCTAGACAAAAATAATTAGAAGGATGCATCACAATCGATACAAAATTATACAAACGTTTTTTTTGCTCTTTACTATTATCTTCTTCCCAAACAATAAAAAAGGAAATCCATAACACAAACAAATTGGAATTAAGTAAATCATAAGTAATATCATAAACTCATACCAATGGTAACGACGACAAATGCACTAACTGGAACTACAAACGAAACGATCTCTATCATTGAAATGACAGAACCTTGAGCTTGGGATAGTTGATAAGCTCTCTACCTCGAATTTTCTGACAAATAAAAAGTAGTTCTGACAGTCAAGTTTTTGAATTACAAACATTTTCTTTTATTGATATGTCAATTTTGTGGGTAATAGATGAGAATCTCTAGTCCTCTTTGTTAATTTTCTGCTTTGCCCTTGTCTTCGGTGGCAAGCCAGTTCCTTAATCATCCCTATTGAGCACAAAAAAGTCAACTTGAGGAAATTTCTTGGGGACTCTTTGGACTGTTGGAAAGCCTTTAGAGCAGCAGCTTCCTTCATAGGATGGAAGCCTCAATCTCTGTCACCTTCTTCTTCGCGATCTCATTTTCAATTGAGGTGGCTACAGCTTATTAATCTTCTTCTTTAGGCCCCAAGTCTTACCTGAGGCCTTTTCGAACTTCTCTTGTAAGTACAAAAAAAGGAGCCTATCCTGGAACTCCCCCCCCCCCCCCCCCCCCCCCACCCCAAAAAAAAAAAAAAAAAAAAAGGGAAAAAATAAAATAAAAAAGTGTCAATATACTTGAAGGTAGCCATCTCTTTGTTCTTGACATCAACAAATTACCACTACTCTCCCTAGAGGAAAATTACCAATAACCCAGACCATCCTTAGGATTATCCTTGAGCTGTTACCAATAAAGGAATTCATAAATATGTAGATAGTCTTCTTATTTAGAGCAAGCCTACTAAAGGACCAATTTTCCAATTAGCACCTTCCCAGAATTGGAAATAAGTTGCACATGAGCAAGCCTAAGTTGATTAAGAATGTCCACAACCAGGGGAGGAAGGGAAAAAAAGAGGATTATACCAAAGGCTATCTCATAAAAGCACATCTTGCCGAGGACAAAAGTACAAACCCCCTAATTAACAAAGAGGAGTCCGACCTAATTAGTAGCTGGATTTGATATTTAATCCTAATTTTTTCCAAGTTTAAGTAGGATAGAGTTCAAGTAATTTTAGTTAGTAGTTTTCTCTATAGATTGCTCAGCCATCCTCCACACACGGGAGGCGAATCAAAATCAGTGTGTTCATATTAAGATATAGAATCATCAGAAGCTACGCCTTTACTCCCGATGTATGTAGATGAGAAAGACTATAGGAGAAGAATGAGGGAAAATGGAAGGAAAGGAAAAGAGATTGCAAAGAAGAGTGGGAAAGACATTCCTTTGGCTTTGGTCTAAATAGGTGCAGAGTTGTATGTTTTTCCAAAAGAAAATTCAATCACTTGTTTGTCTAATGAATAGGTGTCTAACATCGCATTTAATGCACCTAAAAATGGGATACAACAAGGATATACATTGAAGATGGATTATTTTTCCCCTATCAGACTCATCAAAAGGCTCAAACTGGTATTCCCTTTAGCTAGTGATGCCCATTTATCTCCTACATCATGTGAGTAGGGAGACAATCCTCCCCCAACAAACGTGAATATAACATTCCTCAGTGCATGAAAAACTACTCATTTTCAATAAAAATCCATGTTTGCATGGAGTGAAGATAACAAATCCATTCCGAGAGTCACATTATATTGCAATTAGATCCACAATCAATTCTTGCTCACCAATACAAAGGTACACCATCTACATACCCACATAGTTCTAATTGAATCTCCCTATAGTAGGTCAACATAGGTTGTGTGACCTAAAGGTTCCAACAGCAATCTCAATGCAATTACACATGTAGTATGGATAAAAGAATGTGTAACACTTGAATCAAATAAGATACGAGCCCACAAATTATAAACAAAAACAAGACCTTCCATAGCTTTAGAGACCTCAATCTTTGGCGTATGTATAACATACGAGGAATCCTCAACTAGGAACTTCATGCTATATACCTGAACCTAGGTTTCCTTTCCCGCTTCCTGCTCTCTTTGTTTCTTCGATGGAGCCTGATATGGTGGCGGCTTCAGTTGTCCCACTGACCTCGTTTATTCCATAGTCTGATTCATATAATTTGGTCGTCGAGGAGGTGATGATGTAAAACTATTGATAGTTACCCGATCCACTAGACTGCCCAAAAGGACATTGATTCTTGAAATGCCCTATTGGCACCTAGTTGTTACATCATATATGATCTCTCATCACTCCGTCTGGCTCCCTGTTCCTGGTCCTCCCATTTGTTTAGCTGCCTAAGTCGCTCACTGGTATGGTTACGCGACTAACATTACTGTCACCAGTCTGGTGCATATGTCGTGGTTGTTGATGGTCAGTTTCCTCTTGGTCATGCGCCACAAGAGTATCTCTCTTAACCAACTTCCTATAATCCCAGAGTCGCAAGGCCCCTGGATAGTTTCAGATATATGACTTCATACCCTGCTCAAATCTTTTCGCCTTCTTGGCTTTTGTCGACACGTAATCCTTAGCGTGACGTGATCATATTGCGCAACTTTCGTACCTCGTTGTTGCAATGCCAGAAATTCAGTCACCACTTAATCTTTAACAGATTCAAGAAAACAGCTATCATTAAATATCTGTTAAATTGTGCCTAAGTTAATCAGGCCACACTGCCTCCCCCTCAAACAAATAAGTAGCAAATTCAACTATCAGATCCCCAGTGATTTCCATTTCATCCATAACCTTCTTCATATCAGGCAACCACTTCTCCACCTCTATCGGGTCGAGAATCCCATGAAAGGTAGGAGGGAATTGCCGAAGGAACTCCTTCAATACCATCATTCTTTGTCCCTCAGCTCCTCCAACTGGCTTTGTTAACAGCTGAGTCACTGTAGTATGGTTGTTATCGTTGCTAGCTTGTCGTTGAACCAACATAATTAATTCCCTAAAACACTAATAAATACCCCTTGTAGTCTTGTTTGGTTGTGGTGGCGATGGTGGATTATTGTTGTTAGATGACTCCACCTACTCGTTATGAGATATTCTACCGTCCATCTTACAATAACTATCAGGTCTAGTACAACACCCCACGTAACAATTTAGAATTTGTATTGTTTATGCAAACTCAAGCTTACACTCGACTCCTAACCATTACTATCCGCGCCTAACCCATTTCCTACAACATGTCACGCCTCGTTCTTCATATACTGGTGTGACATAAATATAAGCTGCCTATTAACATTAAAAATCTTCATAGGGTTTGAAATTATGAAAATCCTAATAAAAGATATCATCTTTGATTTATAAGGGAGAATCATTTATTCAAAATTGTTAGGAATTTTATTGTAATTGGCTAATTTCGTGGAGTTCATTGTAAATCTCAATCTATTTCACGATCACGATGCTTCAAGATCAAGCTCCAAAAGCAACATGGAAGGACGGAGTTTAAGCTACAAAGTCAAATTTGATAGAGTTATATATTAAAAGCTTATTTTTTA